AAAAAAAAAAAAAAAAAAGATGCGCTACGGCCAACCGGGGGGAAACCGGCTCGGTCGACCGGTCCGGTTCCGGTTGAGGGAGGACCCCCGGTCCTACCGGGTTTGCAGCCTTGCTTTAAAATATATTGCAAGGAAAATGAGCGATAGCGAAATCCAGAAACCAAGCAACACCATACATATGAAACCAGATAGTCCTGACCTCGAACCAAAAGCAGAATTGAAACTCGAATTACACCAAATCAGAGCACAGCAGAGCTCACAAATGACAATGTTGGAATAGTCTCTTCATCATCACCAATGAATCAATGTTGTCCCCCTATCTGGCGCTCAGCACCCAGACTACGAATGGCAGATCCTATCTAGCCTATCTACAAGTACGAGCAGATCTCGGCCAATGCCGTTCCCATCAAGCACCAGGTATGTCCCCGCTTCACTCACAACCTCGATCCTCCACACAGATGCCACACGCACCCAAAGACCACCATGTGCCTCACCCAGCACTCCGCAGGCCAGCCCGGCCATGGCTGCCTGCGTTCACCCTGCTCACTCGTGAGCGCGTAGGCACTCGCTCCAGCCGCTGGCGCAGCAGCGCTTGCGCATAAGCAGTGAGTGCCCGAATGTCCAGCCAGCGGCCAGCCCCTTTCCTATATGGAATGTGGCTGCCAGTGCTGGACTGTCTGTGTTACAGACTGATGCCACACGGGTCCCTTTCGGACCCGACCGCTAGGCTAAGGGGTACTTAGGCCGTCCCAGCCAAAGGCCGGACCTTTCTCCTGGTAGGCCGCCTTGAGGCCACCGGTTGGCTTTCCTGCAGCAGACCAGGTATAGGCCCAAACAACATTACCATTTGGGCCTGGCGGCGCCCTTGAGGCTGCCGCCCGCCGGTCTGATCTGAATCGTCAATCTTGACGACTCAGATCACGGCGCGTTGAGGTAGCATTGAGGCCGACCGGTACTTAGGCCGGTCCAGCGGCCATTCCAGGCATCTTTGGGAAGCGGCACTGTGGAGGGGCCACGCTGGGCTATTCTGGGTTCAGCACAGCGCTGGGAACTGCAGCGCTAAGTTTAGCGCACTGCAGTGGGGAGGAGCATGGAGGAGACTTACCTGACTGCCGCCGTGAGTGCCATAGCTCCAGCAGCGCAGCTACCTCCAGCAACAGCAAGGCACCACCTTTCAGTTACAGGTAGGGCCTGGGCTACTCGCCAGCTCCGCCGATGCTCTGCCCCTCCCGGGGACTTCTTCTACTACCTCTGCCCCTCTCAGTCTTCTTCTTCTTCGTCGTCTTCTTCTTCTTCTTCTTCTTCTTCTTCTTCTTCTTCGGACTGGAGACTATTGATACAAGTTGGACAGAGATCAGTGATTGGGCTTCGGTGGTAGGAGGATGTGATACTTGCCGGATTCGAGACATTGGAGATAGTTGGGATTGATACCTGGCGGCATCACAGATCGGACATCCGTTACATTAGGATTCTGTACCTCCGACATTGGTGATTTATGTCCACGACATTCTGATTTTGTTCGGGGACATTTTGGGCTACCATATCGGTGACCTTCTGGCTTCTATCTCAGTGACATCTGGCGCTGTCCATATCTCCCACCTCCATTGTGAAACGGTTTTCACCTTTGCAGAGGCAGATGCAGATCCCAGGGTTCGATCCCCAGACCTTACCTTACCCATGTACAGTATCGAGTTGACCCCTCAGTGTTGAACCCGTGACCTGTGTTTCGTTAGTTGTTGTTTGTCCGTCATAGGACTGTGTAGATGTAGGAATTCGATCTGTAGGTCTGTCGAGTAGGGGTCACAGCTCTGTAGAGGTCGTATTCTGAAGGGTCAAGGTCGTAGCTGCTACAGTCCTGAAAGGTCAAGGTCGTAGCTGCTACAGTACCCGAAAGGCCAAGTCCACAAACTTCCAGAAGTTCCGGAAGTGGCCTTTCGAAGCGGTCTCACGTTTTAGTCCGAGGCAAGTGGGCAAGAGGTGAGCCCAACTGCGTTACGTCGGCAGTGCGACTGCATCCAGTTGGCAGTACAAACTCATGCAGTCATCGGTACTGGTCCAATCAGTCCCAGTCCAGTCCAGCAAGTACCATGAGGGACTGTGTGCACCATGGGCCAATGGAAAGAGGCAGACCAATGAGTTACAGAAGTATAAATCAAGAGGCAGCGCCCAGCCATTCATTCATTCCTGTGTAAGCCATGCGGAAGCGCTGCTACAGCGACTTGTGCGAGGTGGTCTGCAGTAGGCCCGAAGACGAAGTGGGCGAGAAGGAAGCTTAGACATAGCGATAGGGTAGGCAGCGGCCATAGCCGCCATAGCTGACAGGAGAGAGAGTGGCGTGTGCGAGTGTACAGTGGGTTGCGTGTGGGATATCCAGGGTGATCCAGAGTTGAAGTGTGAGCGAACAGTGGTGTTGGACACAGTGACGAGAGTTCGGATATATAGGTGCCGGTGCACCATAGCCTGTTGAAGCGAGTTTGCATCCGAACTGTGTTTTTGGTTTCCATATCTCTGAGCTTTGAGTTGGGCGCTATGCGCCAGTGTGAATCACCATCTGTTTGTACGCATGCGAAGCGAAGAAGAAAGTGAGTCTGATTGCAGTTGTCTCCCCTCCCACCATTCATCTGTGTATGGTTGTACGGGGCTGAAGCATCGTCTATGTATGGCTTCCGACCCCACCATCTCACGATTGCTTGTGTGTTGAGTGGCGTTAGGTGAGTTCACTCTATGCGAGTCAGTCCATTTCTCAGACTCTTCGCAGCTTAACCCATCCACCCCCTGCCCCTCTCTCAATGAATGGGTAGCAACAATGAACAAACTCCTGAGAGAAGCCTCCGAAGCCATTGAACGAACCCAAGAACAACAAGCCAACAAGACTAACAAACATAGACGCAACGTGTCATTCAAAGTAGGGGACAAAGTCTAGCTCTCCGCCAAACGCTTTGAACCCGAACACGGCTTGTCCAAGAAACTCTCCAACAAATGGCTCGGTCCCTTCCCCATCATTGAACAAACCTCCCCCGTCAACTACAAACTCCAACTTCCCCCTGACATGAGTCGTGTCCACCCAGTCTTCCATGTCGAGTACCTAAAAGAATACCATGAATCCCCGCCTCAGTTCGCCGACCGCCCGTATCCTAGACCTCCACCAATCATGCTACCCACAGGCCCTGAATTCGTTGTCGAAACCATCATCGGCCAACGAACTACTCTGGTATCTGACCATCCGGAACCAATCACTGAATACAATGTCAAATGGACCGGATACCCCGACGAAGAATCTACATGGGAACCTCTCTCTAATCTTAAGAACGCCATGAAACTTGTTCGCGCCTATGATCGTGCTAATCCTATGTCCTAGATACCTATATAACTATGGCATAAACCCCCACTAAACCCTTGTAACCCTGCTCTACACACACCCTTGAACCCAGCCACCCTCCCCTTGACCCTGATTCCTGATGTCTGATCTGCCCTTACCTTCGCCTAGCCTTGTCCCATCTGTCCTCTCCACTACCTTGTCTCTCTTGTCCAATGCTTGTGGACCTGCGTGACGTCGGCGATAAAGGATCTAATGGCAAGCGCACGAGGACGATGGCCTGCTGCCTCACTGTTCATGGAGATTATGCAGCTGGTTTGGCCACCATGCTGTTTCATCGGCCGGTAACCTGACTCACGGACTTACTGGAGCAGCAACTTGTGACATGGATCTTTGCATCAGTAGCGACTTCCTTGCTTCCAGATCAGACCTCATGGCAGTTCGTGTACCGGATGCACCCTAGCACTTGGACTTTGACACTTGAACTACTACTACGCTTCTTGGACTTCTAATTGTCGCAGCCGCTGAAGACCGCTTCTACCACCTACTCCAAAGACCTGATCAAGACTGCCGCAGACCCCCTTGCAAGACACTTGGACACCTTGTTCCGACTCCTTCGGACACACCAGCCCTTGCATCCTGAACAAACATTTTCATTTTTATTTTTCCTGACTTTGACAACCCTGTAGAACATCATTAGCAGATCCCTGCTTCCCTAACCATTCTTCCTCGTACCCACTAGAACATCAATAGACATTCCCTTTCCCCCTGACCATTGTTTCCCTTACCCACTAGAACATCAATAGAAATACCTTGTTTTCCTGAACACTGTTTCCCTTACCCAGTAGAGAACATCAATAGAAGTTCCCCGTTCCCTGACCTTCGTTCCCCCGTAACTTACAGCAAACTATGCGGTCCCCTTAGTTCATCACTAAGACAACCCTGTTCACCGGTACCAAACCCTGTTCCCTCTTACTCCCACAACCCATGCCACCCACATTATACCCCTCTTCCCTTTCGATTTGTTAACCAGTGATCGGCCCGGTCCCGTCCTTCACAGATTTCAGCATTGCTTCATGATTTTGGCAGCCGGGACGTTGCCTTCTAGAGGGAGGGGATAGTGTTAGGGACTCCGCCAGGGCTCGATCCATGGTCTATCTTTTTGCTGTTTCGGCTGCATCCCGTTTTTGGCCTGGCACCCTTTTTCCAAACCCCCCCTTTGGTACCGTAGGATTTTGGACAACTGGCGCCATGCTGCAATTCGGGCGCCACTTTCAAATACCACATTTTTCAGTTCTGCCCTCGGGGCCTTTGCAGAAATGCCCCTGGTACCGTACGTGTCACCGATACTTATACCGTCTCCCCGTACGGTACGGGGACCAGTCTCGTACCAGTTTTCTGCTGCTGTACTTGTGCTTCGGTGACTTGCTTCGACATTGTGTTCGGAAATCCAAGACTTCGACTTTGCGACTTTGCCACTTCGTGTCTGCGTCCGTCGAGTCGTGTAGAGTCTGCGTCGAGTTGAGTGAGTGTGTGTGTGTGCTCTCACTCTCTCCCTCTCTCTCCCAGCCTCGTTGCCTCAGCCCCGTCACAGTTATGGGAGCACGGAGCATGTGATTATCTGGGCAGTAGCAGGCCAACTCGCCACGTGATTTTCAGGGCTTCCCTCCACAACTCACCAAATGTGCAAGACTAGAATGAATCTTCTGCTAGAACATGTGATCATACGCCGCCATATGTTTTTGTCTTTTGTGCAAGTGGCGACGAGTGGAGCCACGCCCTTAGGGCCACTGCTCATACAAAAAGGAGAGAGCTACGACAGTAAATAGTTGCAGCCCATAACTGCTGGAACACAGACCTGAATTCGGATCCAGAAGATATATTGCTGGCCTGCTCCTCGCTCCTCGCTCATCCGAAATCCGTCGAGTGTCTCCGCTGAGATATATGAGCCCTGCAGATTCTCTACTTGGGGCCTTTCAGAAAAAAAGCTATACGCAATGAGGAATACGGGCCCCTAATTTTTTTTCTCTGCCCTTAAAATCTGTAGAAGGGAGAGGCACGTCTGGCTACTTCAGCCCCCCCCAATACCCC